ACCTGACTAGCATGAAGAGTTTGATGTCCAATTTACTTAAAATCGGGCGAAAATATATATGGAAGCTCTATCCAAATATATCGAAGGATATATAGGGACTTTGGTGCACCATTTACATGAAATCGGACGAAACTATATCTGAATCTGGGCTGATTTTCTCGAAACTGGGCAGACATCATTCTAGGCTCAATTCAGTACGTTATGCCAAATTTCCTGCAAATCGAAAGATATATAGGGACTTTGGGGCACCATTAACATGAAATCGGACGAAACTATATATGGGAGCTATATCTAAATCTGGACCGATTTTCGCGAAACTGGGCAGACATCATTCTAGCCTCAATTCAGTACGTTATGCCAAATTTCATGCAAATCGAAAGATATATAAGGACTTTGGTACACCATTTACCTTAAATCGGAGGAAGATATATACGGGAGCTATATCTAAATCTGAACCGATTTTCACGAAACTTTGCACACATTCTAGACTTAATTCAGTGCGCTATGCCAAATTTCGTGCAAATCGAAAGATATATAGGGACTTTGGTACGCCATTTACCAAAAATCGGCCGAAACTATATATGGGAGCTATATCTAAATCTGAACCGATTTTCACGAAACTTGGCACACATCTTTCGTGGCTCAATTCAGTACGCTATGCCAAATTTCGTGCAAATCGAAAGATTTTCAGAGTCTAAAGTCCGTAAATCGGGCAAAAATATATATGGGAGCTATATCTAAATCTGAACCGATTTTTCCCAATTTCAATAGGGTTCGTCCTTGGGCCAAACAAATGAGCTGTGCCAAATTTCATCCAAATCGGATCATAAATGCGACCTGTACTTTGTTTACAATTTAACACCAACAGACGGACAGACGGACGGACGGACGGACATGCATAAATCGATTCAGAAAGTGATTCTATGCATATTCTCAAAAGGAACCATGGGTCTATCTCGATTATTTTTGCCTGTTACAAACATATGCACAAAGACATAATACCCTGTACCACAGTGTGGTGAAGGGTATAAAAATGACAATTATATAACTGGTCAACTCGCTCGAGGGGTCTCACAGTTATACGATCTGTTTAAGGGAACTACAATATCATCTATTTCATTGGCAAACTCCTCAAGATCTATTGCGGTAAAGCTACCACTCTTTTCTTCTATCATTTGGATTTACACAATATCTGTATCGCTGTATTTCAAGTATTCCGTATTTAGATTCAAAATGTATGTACTTAAATGTCATGTAAGAAATTAGTATAGCTTCACCACAAAATGTTACTTTTTAACGGTTGCTCATCAATTCAGATCTTAATTACTTCCACCCATAATCCACTTAAAAAGTAAGGTAATTACTTTGGCTTCTATCTTTTAATCATTTAAGTGGGCACTGCGTTCCAGTATTCTTACACACACAGTGGCTAACATTAGCCTGACGATAGGTTAGTTAACCAACAATTGTTCTTTGTTGTTTGTCACTTTTGTTTAATAACATTTCATTTGTCGATATTATTTAATTGACAATATAAGTAGTTTGTGTCGCTGCAGATGTTGTTGTTGTTGCGGTTGTATTTTTTGTTAGTCGCCTTTCATTCATTTTGAATAGAGTTCAATAAAAAAGAACTGACCCAATTTTTCGTAGAGCCCAGACTAGCTGAGTAGCTTAACTACTCAAAGTTGCGAGCCAAGTCAACAACATCATTGCCATGTGTGTGGTCTGCTGCTTGGCTTGGATCATTGGCCACTTGTCCACCAATATTTGTTGCCACCGAGATGTATGTACGTAGATATTTATTTGTATGCAATTTTTTCTTTTTTAGTTCTACTTGTAATGACTGCAGAATATGCGACATGGGTAGCCACTAAAATGAACACACATTTTTTCTATCTATATAGATATGTCGTATTGTCTCTCTATATGTATGTATATCATTCGACAAACAGATTGTTTTAAAACAATTTGAATATTGATCAATAGTGGTGAAGGTGACAGTCGGTGTATGGGGTGCTGCTGCTGAAGGAAGGCGGTGTAGAGAAGAATAATAGTGGCTGAGCTGAAAACATTTAATTAAAATGACCACCAATTTTAACAATTTAAGAACATTTTTCTCTTGATTTTCATGGGAATACAATTTTAATTGAATATATATTGTAATTTTTGTTTAAATAATACACCTACATAAATTCGTTTTGAGAATATTAATGTGTTAAAACACATATTTTAATCTCAGAAGGAATTCATATGGAAAATGAAACAGGTGTTTTGATTAAGATGGGGTTTAAAATCAATAAAAGTAATGGATTTTGTTAACATTGGGGCGGATGTATGCTTAGGAGACTTTAGTAAAACCTTGCTTTAGATATGGGGTTTATTTAATTATATTTAATATATCATACATTTTAAATAGGTATCAATATTATTCTACGAATATCGGAACACGTAGAAATGGTATGGACAGTTTTGCTCTTCTACACAAAGGGCACCTTGATTAGCCTTAGGGTAGAGATAAGTACCCTTGGCGGGAATGTGATATGACGATTGGGAATCTAGATATCTAGATATGTAGTCTCACAACAGCTGGGATATGGTTGCTTCAACAAGGTTTAGGTAAGTGGAGCTATTCGACAGGAGAGCAAAATATACTACAGGTTTCTACTGCGATAGACCTTAGTAAGTACTCATACAAAAATACCAGGGCGAGGGAACTTGATAACTACTCAAACAAGGATATGGAAGGATACTACCACAAGAAACCTTAATAAATACTCAAGCAAGAGCACAGAATGATTCTACTGCAAGAGATCTTAATAAGTATTGAATCAAGAATATGGAAGAATTCTACTGCAAGTAACCTTAATAAGTACTTAAGCAAATATACTGAAGTATACTACGGCAAGAGACCTTAATAAGTACTGAAGCAAGGATATGGAAAGATACTACCGCAAGATACCTTAGTAGGTACTCAAGTAAGGATTATACTGCAAGAAACCTTAGTAAGTACTCTAGCAAGGATATGAAAGGATTATGCGTCAATAAGAATATGACAGGATTCTAATGATGTGTTGGATACCTTTGGAATATAGACCTGGATAAGTACTCTAAGACGGCTATAGAAATGTATTACTCACCTGGGGTCGATGCGTCTTTTTCTGGGGTCTAACACTCACTGTCCTTAATAAGTACTTACTTAGCTGGCTTGTTACAGAACGGCTGTTCCATAAGCCAAGCTTAAAAAAGATTTCCAAGCGCGTCGGCCTTGTGCAAATATCCTCTAATTTGCAAGACCACGTTTCAAAATGTTGTTTTCTACTTGGCCTTTCCATCTAATTCGTGGCCTTCCCCTTCTAGGGGAACCATCAGTTGGCTCGCTTTTATATACCTTTTGAGATGGGGCATTCTCATTCATTCGCACAACATGCCTAGCCACCGTAGTCGCTGCAATTGTAAAGCTCGTGTGTCATTCGACGCCGATATTCACCGTCGACGCTGATCGGCCCGTAGATCTTTCGGAGAATTTTTCTTTCAAACGCCCCAAGAGCTGCCACATCTGCTTGCGCAAGTACCCATGCTTCAGATCCATATAACAGCACTTGTAGTATCAGCGTCTTGTAAAGTGTGAGTTTTGTCTGGCGGGAGATGGCCTTGTTTCTAAACTGCTTACTTACACCATAGTAGAATCTGTTGGCCATCACAATCCTTCTCCGAATTTCAAAACTGATGTCATTTGTTTTATGTATGGCGATACCAAGGTACGAAAAATCTTTTACTACCTCGAAGCTGTAGTTCTCAAGTTCCACAGCTTGGTCTTCTCGTTCAGCTTTCTGTTCACCTTTGCGTCTCATATGACCTCTTCTTGAGTACTCAATTTACATAAAATCGGGAAAAAATATATATGGTAGCTATGTCTAAATCTGAACCTTTTTTTAAGAAATTTAGCACACATTATTCTAGATTGAATTCAGTACGCAGTGCCAAATAATCTAAAGAAATATAGGTGCTTCAGTAGTCTATTTAATTGAAATAGGAGGGAAATATATATGGGAGCCATATCTCAATCTGAACCGATTTTCACGAATCTCAGCAGTCATCATTTTAGACTTAATTTAGTAATCTATGCCAAGTGTCGTGCAAATCTAAAGATATTTAAAGACTTTGCTGCACTATTTACATTAAATCGGACGAAATTATATATGGGAGCTATATCTAAAACTGAATCTATTTTTACGAAACTTAGCACACACCATTCTAGATTCAATTCATTACGCTATGCCAAATTTTATGCAAATCTAAAGATATATAGGAACTTTGGTGCACTATTTACATTCAATCGTACGAAAATATATATAGGAGCTATATCTAAATCTGTGACCTTTGCCAAATTTCATGTAAATCTGATCATAAATACAACCTGTGCTTTGTTTACAAGGCTACATGGACGGACAGACGAACATGCAGAAATCAACTCAGAAAGTTATTCTATGCATATTCTAAAAATCTTTTGTTGTTGCAATATGCGGTACCACAGAGTGAAAGACCACCAAATATATCAAATATATATAATTGGAAACTACTGCTTAGGGGTATAAAAAGTGGGTCAAAATTTCAGCCCTGAAAAACTGATACAAAATTGCCTATATAATTCATATATACGGTACCAAATAAGGAAGCATTGTGGTGTTACAAACTATAATTATTGGCCTATCGGAAATGTGTTTGATAACTTTGAAATTCTTGCAGGTTCTGGAATCGACCACATATTGTAAAGAGTATCTGAAATTAACAAAAAAATGTATTGTAATCGGAATTAACTGTACACATCAAATTCAAAAATCATATTTTGTAATATTGACAGAAGGCATTTGTTTATTTTATTATTTGTTCATCAAATCAATTTAAATATATTTTTTTAATAAAATCTACAAAATAGACGCTATTATATAAAATATAACCATTGACACTAAAATCGGGGAAAATTAATAAGTGTACAAGCAATGTTCAAATTTCTTGCTAAACGAAAGGAAATTGAAAAGGCCACATCAACAAATCTATTCAATTTTGTCAATGCCAAATTCAGAAGGTAAGACATGAGTGATGGATGCACAAATGGGAGTGAAATTCTTATTAATTTATCGGATCGAAAGTTCGAAATATGAGGTGTTTCGTCCGAATATTGACAGAAAATATTTCTTGTGCCAATCATGACGTGGTTGAACAATGGATCGCTGTCACTCTTTTATTTCCTATGAGATCATCCCAATACGCGACAGTTTGTTTAAATATTCGCAGCTACCAATAAATTCCTTATCTCTAAGCTCGCTTATTTCACTTATTTATGTCGGAATTAAATATAGCGTTCGCCTTTATTTTTAGGATAATCTAATATTTTCTTCACCTTAAGAACTATTTTGTCACCCTTTACTTTCATATAATGATTCCATTTCCTCTTTTTCATATCATTTCAGTTTCATATTAAATTACGATTGGCTGGTCTATACAATTTTGGGTATTCTGTTGGCCACTTGTCTAATTTATTACATATATGATCAAAAGCGTATAAGCGTCAGTAGACGTAGACGTCAAGAAATTGTAGATGCCAGCCAAAGGTAATATTGTTGACTTTTTTCAAAATTATATTTTAAATTTATAATTCATATTTTTTGTTACAGGGTCTCCCAACAACGCCGGCCCGGTGCCAGTTATCGGGACCATGAAATTTTTCAAAATGTCGTCCAAACTGCTCGCGAATATGCAAATAGAGAACATCGCCACACACAGTTGAAACCGTATGTGTCAAGATATACTCGAAGTGGACGATTATACGGAGATTATTATGAAGGATAGGGAAACGGTATTTTCAAAATGTATTAATATTTGTTAAAAAATTTTAAATAATTAGATTTCACAAAATAAATCGGTGCGAAAGTTGAAGTTGTTTAAGTCATCATGTAAATTGAAATATATAAGGTATTCGATTTAATCCAAAATTATGGGATAACCCTGTCCGGCTCCTCTCCCACATCTGGTCAAAATTTTTGGTAAAATAAAAAAAAAAACATTATAAATAGCCAGAAAATATATATAGGAGGTGTACACATCACTCTACACTTAAATCTATACGCTATGCCAAAATTCGTGCAAATCGAATGACATTGCCACGCTTTTTGCCACCAAAGTGACTAAATTTTTACATTTCGTAGTCTTAGATAATGAAAATATATTTTAAGAAATTGTCTTTTTTTGATATTTTAAAGGTTGAATGTGTCTGTAATTAACGACGATTTTATTTGTTGATATGATCTATTTGTATATTAAATATGTCCAATTCTCTACACAATAACGTATTTTAGTGGTAAACCCCTGTGGTAAACCATATACCACCTCTATCGATTTTCAATATATAGAAGATTTTCGTCATTTGCAATTATATTTAAATATCCGATAATTGACAATCTACATAAATTCCACCTTCTTTGTCATATTCTCCATACTTTTATGGACATAGCCCTTAAAAGTTAGTTTTCATGCCATCCTTTAAATTTTCCATATTAATTTCTTATCTCTCAATTGCTTTTTTTCATGCCAACTTAAAAATTTGAATAGTCACCACCACCATAATTTGTTATTTTCTATGACTTTTCACTTCACTGCAAAAGATACAATTTCTGCATATCTACACTGTCATATAGTTCAATGGTTTATGTTTATTTCAGACTTTTTTTTGCATACCCAATGCAATGCCATACTACTTCTGAGGGTGTCAAGTTATGGTATTACCTCCAATAAAATGAAACAACATTTCTTTCGTTTTTTTGCCTTGCCTTCCATTTGTTAAAATATTTGCAGAAAAAACTGCTGGCGCATTCAATTGCAGTTCGCTGTACTCAGGGTATTCACAAAGAGTGTGTGTGTTTCGGTGTCTACACAATTGGGCATTAGAGTCCTGCCTTGCCTGTTTCGTTTCGTTTTATTTTCTGTTGTTGGTTGGTTCCATGTTAAGCTCCTCTGACTTTTTGTCGTTCTCGTTCTCTTTTTCGTTTTCTATAAAAGACGCGTCATTTAAATAACAATAAAAGTTAATGACAAGTTGCTAACTAAACTACGGCAGTTATGCCATAACAATCGTCGTTTGCTGTCTCTGTAGTTCATTTGTTGTTGTTGCTGTTGCCAACATATATGTTAGTGCATAACTGTGTGTGTGTGTGTCTAGTATGCCTCTGCTTAGTTAACTTTTCATTAGTTTTGCATACATACTACCTATGTGTGTGTTAGCTGTTACATTTAAATCGATGTGGGGTAACACTAACTACCTACCTACCTACATCGTAGTACTACAGGTGATAATCGTATAACAATCGTATTTATACCCTTCACCACACTGTGGTACAGGGTATTATGTCTTTGTGCATATGTTTGTAACAGGCAAAAATAATCGAGATAGACCCATGGTTCCTTTTGAGAATATGCATAGAATCACTTTCTAAGTCGATTTATGCATGTCCGTCCGTCCGTCCGTCCGTCTGTCCGTCTGTCCGTCTGTCCGTCTGTCTGTCCATGTTAAATTGTAAACAAAGTACAGGTCGCATTTATGATCCGAATTGGATGAAATTTGGCATAGGTCACTTATTCGGCCCAAGGACGAACCCTATTGAAATTGGGAAAAATCGGTTCAGATTTAGATATAGCTCCCATATATATATTTAACCGATTTAATGTAAACGGTCCCTATATATCTTTCGATTTGCACGAAATTTGGTACAGGCTAATCATTTAGGCCTATAATGATGTCTGCCAAGTTTCGTGAAAATCGGTCCAGATTTAGATATAGCTCCCATATATAGTTTCGTCCGATTTCAGGTAAATGGTGCCCCAAAGTCCCTATATATCTTTTGATTTGCACGAAATTTGGCATAACGTACTGAATTAAGCCTAGAGTGATGTCTGCCAAGTTTCGAGAAAATCGGTCCAGATGTAGATATAGCTCCCATATATAGGTTCGTCCGATTTCATGTAAATGGTGCCCCAAAATCCCTATATATCTTTTGATTTGCACGAAATTTGGCATAACGTACTGAATTAAGTCTAGAGTGATTTCTGCCAAGTTTCGAGAAAATCGGTCCAGATTTAGATATAGCTCCCATATATAGTTTCGTCCGATTTCATGTAAATGGTGCCCCAAAGTCCCTATATATCATCCGATTTCCACGAAATTTGGTACAACCTAATCATTTAGGTCTAGAATGATGTCTGCAAAGTTTCGTGAAAATCGGTCCAGATTTAGATATAGCTCCCATATATAGTGTCGTCCGATTTCATGTAAATGGTGCCCCAAAGTCCCTATATATCTTTCGATTTGCACGAAATTTGGCATAGCGTGTTGAATTGAGTCTAGAATGATGTCTGCCAAGTTTCATGAAAATCGGTCCTGATTTAGATATATCTCCCATATATAGTTTCGTCCGATTTCATGTAAATGGTGCCCCAAAGTCCCTATATATCTTTCGATTTGCACGAAATTTGGTACAGCCTATTCATTTAGGTCTAGAATGATGTATGTAAAGTTTCGTGGAAATCGGTCCAGATTTAGATATAGCTCCCATATATAGTTTCGTCCGATTTCATGTAAATGGTACACCAAAGTCCCTATATATCTTTCGATTTGCACGAAATTTGGCATAACGTACTTAATTGAGCCTAGAAGGATGTCTGCCAAGTTTTATGAAAATCAGTCCAGATTTCTATATAGCTCCCACTTATATATAGCTCCCACTTATAGTTTCGTCCGATTTCATGTAAATGGTGCCCCAAAGTCCCTATATATCTTTCGATTTTCACGAAATTTGGTACAGCCTAATCATTTAGGTCTAGAATGATGTATGTAAAGTTTCGTGAAAATCGGTCCAGATTTAGATATAGCTCCCATATATAGTTTCGTCCGATTTCATGTAAAGGGTACCCCAAAGTCCTATATATCTTTCGATTTGCACGAAATTTGGCATAACGTACTGAATTGAGCCTAAATTGATGTCTGCGTTGTTTCGTGAAAATCGGTCCACATTTAGATATAGCTCCCTTTTATTAAAGATTGATTTTAAGTACTTGACGCACCAAGGAACCAATAGGAACAAAACGTTCTGAAATTAGTATAACGTATCCTGTGACAAGTTTGTTTGAAATCGCTTAATATTTGGCCCGATATCAAGTAAATTGTTAGTCAGTTTGACATCAAATTTTGCACAACGTACAAAATTGAGCATAGAATTATGTAGTTTCGTTTTCTAGAAGTACAGACATAGCCCAACGGATGACCTATTTATATTTGTTTGAAGTCGATTTACATACTTTATGGATAGATCTACGTAGATTCACATTTAGATAAATATCACATGTTTTATTTCATTCAAGTACATGCTAATAGTCCTGTTTATTATACCCATAGTGGTGAAGGGTATCATATAGTCGGCCCCGTCCGACTTTACTACTTTCCTTACTGGTTTTTTCGTAGGTGCAATGTTGCAGAAAATTCGATGTGCCGATATTGAAGTTTTTATGTGATATTGAGTATATTTTTTGAATGGTCAAAATAACGTTATTTATGTGACGTTTTGGGTGGAAGGTAATCCAATTATATAGAAGAAATTTTATGTTATCAATAGAGGCCAAATATTGTAAAAAATATTGGCAAGGTAAACGAAGATATTGTAGCTAAGGAGCAGGATGAAATCTCTAGGAACGATTATACAATTTTACGATAGTAAAAAAATTAAAGAGATATCATCTGTAAATTATGGGTGCGGTTTGGACCACAATTAATTGGATATTCAAAAATTCTCTTGAATATAATGAGAGCTGAAATGAGATTTTGTAATCTAAACAAATTTTCCTACCAAAAAATTGTGATTATTGGTTTGCGTTTAGTTATAGCTACCCATTTTCGGAATTTTGGAGGCTTTGCCCGCATTTTCTTACCGATGTGTTTGTAATTCGGAATAAAGGGTTATTGGATGCTGACATACATATATACATGATCAATATAAGTCCACGTTTTGTCATAGCCCCCATATAAGGTTAGCACCTCACTGTGAGCATGTGGAAGGATTTAGCTGAATTTGGAGGCTAAAAAACTGTCCGCTCCGTTTCCGGAATTTTTAAAATTTCACCAAAAACATTTCTAACAAATTTTCGAAATAGGACCCTTTGTTGACATAGCATCTTTATAAAGAAGACTATATCTGGAATTTTTAGCCCGATTATTCTCTGAAGTGGCTAGCAATCTTGGAGAGTGAATGGTTTTACATATCTCCTGTAGAAAGGTCCCAACTCATTTTCGATATTCTTATGATTTTAACCGAATTGTCTCATCGAAGTTGGTATAATTTGGAATATCGGCTTCCTGGTGCATAAAAAAATTATTTTCATGAATAGCCCTGTAAAATCCAATAATATCATGGTCCGTCATTTGGTATTCATTTTTTTCAGATGATAAAAAACTTTCAACGCTGTCTCTATAGCTCAATCTTCAACAGTAATCATTATTCCAAATTCCAGGTTTTCAATTCTATGCGTTCACCCAAATTCCAAATAGTACTAAATTTAGTACTTTTCATACCCATGAGTACGAATTTCCTAAACTACCTCAATCCTACACTCCAACAGACATTTTAATTCCCAATTTCAAGACTCAAGCTCTATCTGTTCACCTAAATCCAAATTGTACAAAATGTAGAGCGATTAGTAGTACTTTGGGTGACTTAGGGGATGATAGATACCAAACAACGGCTCTGATTGGCTTTAACATGCCAAAGCCCAGACATATCATAATCACTCTTTCATCTCAATTGTGGACACTGACCTCCACGCGGTTATCTGGAGTAACTACTTTCATCATCCGTTGAAATAGTGAGCTGTTATGTGCCGCAAGTTCACCCATGGATTAGTTGCCTGCACTCGGAAACCCCTTCCTACTATGAAAAAGCAACGAAAAAGTAAACTAAACGCCCGCAATGTTGACGACCCACACAAGTGTACACAGTACCACGATCTGCGAATCTGCACTTGAAATGTGCGCACGTTGTACAGAACAGACGCAGTTTTCGCTTTGGTAGATGTACTCAAGAAATACAAACCGATATTGTTGCCTTACAAAAAATACGGAGGAAAGGAACAGGCGTAAGTAAATCAGATGATTACGCCCTGCATTATAGATGTCATGAAACGACACATGAACTTGGCTGCGGATTTATGGTTAATAGGAGAATAAAAGACCTCGTCTCCAGATTCACTCCAGTAGAGTAGCAAATTGCTATAATCCGTACAAAAGCGAAGTTCTTCTACATCAGTCTCATTTGCGCCCATGCTCCGACCGAAGACACAGATGAACAGACCAACGACATATTTTACGAGCGCCTAGAAACAGGATATGACCGCTGCCCTGGCTATGACCATACATTTCTGCTAGGAGATTTTAATGCGAAAATCGGAAAGGAAAATATTTTTGGCCCCACCGTCGGAAAATTCAGCCTCTATGAAGACACATCAGACAACAGCATGAGGTTGATTGACTTCGCGGCAGCAAAAACACATGGTAGTTAGCAGCACCAGATTCAAGCATCTCAATATACACAAGGCCACCTGGATTTCCCCAGATCGAAAAACGAGAACTTAAATCGATCATGTTGTGATAGACGGAAGGTATCCATACAGTGTTTTAGACGTTCGATCGATCCGAAGAGCAAATATCGATTCGGGCCTCTAACTTGTGGCAGTCAAGGTTCTCATTTGTATTAATGTAGCAGTAAAGGTGCGATCGACGTCGAAAAGCTGCAAACACAACAGGTATCAGAAGCATACTCCGCAACACAACTTACCCACTTGCTTGACAAAAGCTCTCCTTGTCCCTATAATAATATAGAAACACAATGGCAAAGTATTGCTCACTCCCTACAAACTCCGGCAAAAGCAACACTTGGGTACCAAAGACACCCATTAAAACCCCAGGTACGATCAGGAGTGTCGTAATGCTACTGAGGCGAAGAACGCGGCGTATAGGGCAACTTTGCAATGGAGATGGAGAATTATCGGGAGAAAAGGTGAGGGGAAAGGTATTTCCAAAAAAGGGAGAAAGACAAGAAAAGCACGAGCAAATTCGAGATGTGCAGCAGTCAGAATGAAGTCCGGAAATTTTACCAACGAGTAAAACACCAAACTGAAGGCTTTGGTGCAGGCGAATCCTCCTGTAAAGACGATGATGGTAACCTGATGACAGATACAAATAGCGTATTGATGATCTGGAAGAAGCATTTCGAAAAGATTTGGTGGTGGTGGAGAAGATGATCTGGAAGGAGCATTCTGAAAAGATATAGTGGTTGTGGAGAAGATACCCCAGAACCAATAAGAGATGACGGTATTTGGTTAGAGGAATGCATGTCAAATGATTGGAACCTCAGCATCCTGAGTCCCGTGCACAAAAAAGGAGACAATACGATATGTGTCAATTACAGAGGAATAAGTTTCCTTCCTTTCCGACTGAAGTCAATGGCATTTTTGGACCATACCAATGCGGCTTCAGGCCTGGCAAACTCACTACCTACGAAAAACAAATCATCACATTCCACCTATTCGTCGACTATAAAACCACATTCGACAGCCCTATCCATTCACAGCTGTTTAAAGCCATGTCTGCGTTAGGCATTCCTGCAAAATTAATACGGTTATGCGGGATAACTGTAACTGGCACATCCTGCTGAAAAGGTCATACGAGTTGCAAATGTGAACAGAAATGGCACTCTGAACACCAAACAGCATATGTTACTCGCCTACACCGATGACATCGTCATAATGGGTCGAACATTGAGAGCGGTAACATCCACCTTTGAACAAAAGTGAGACTTGCAGTAAATGACGAGGCTCAAGTATCAACGCGAAAATTTTTACCCTTAGGTCGAATTTCCAAAAAACCCAGTCTTATCTCACGACTACACACCATAGATCTGCCATTCACTCACTCATCACTAAGCTCTTTTATGTTTTATGATAATACATGAACAATTTTGTTTGAAAAATGTTAATTGAATATTTAAAATAGCGAACATAATGCGGTAATGTATTATTTACAGTGCGTCGATACCTGGACTTAAAATGACAATTTTCTTCGATTTGGCTTGTAACCCTCTGAGAACCGGACATATAAATTTCCATCCAATTCATATTTATAATGCATCTATGACTTTCAAAATACATAAAATGTGACGAAGGCTTTATATAGAGACTACGTCAGAGCATGGACCTTTAATTTAATTTATTTATGGGGAGATACCAAATTATCAGTGGTGGGCAAACAGATATTGAGATTAAGAGTGGGTGAGCGTAACTGAGTATTCATAATTAAAAACAACTGACGAGCATGGCTGCAAATTATGGTCAATTAGGATTTATTTATGCTTCCAATTAGGATTTATTTGTCCCAATTACGTCACGGCAAAATTGAACCTCTTATCCGATGATGGTGATATTTTCTTGAAGTCAAATAAAATTTAATTGAATCCATTCATATTTAGAAATAGCTCGCTATAACATATTCTACTCGATTGGAAACTCCATAACCAAGTTATGTAGGATGAACGTTTAGGTTTCTCATTAACTCCATCTTCTTCCCATTACTTATTCCCCTACTCCATTTTGCCACGCCGACCTGTTGCACATACAAAATTTAAACTAAGTACTTAGTGTCGTCATCAATTAACCATGGGTTTTTAGCTACTCAAGAGTCATGACAAAAACTTTAGTTTACAATAATACAAAATGACACATAAGCCATATCACCCGCGTTGTTGCATGTCTATCAGTTTGTCTACGAAAGTCTTGAGTTAAGCAATTTCTTTATAAGCTTTATGTTGAGGCAGATATCTTTGATCTTGGCCATATTTGTTGTGGTGGTCGATGATTACGTCTAGTAGTAGCTGCTAGCTTGGGCTTTAAAATTTTGTATGACTATGCAGTTTTTTGTTTTTCGTATAAAATGTGCAATTTTTTCACTTGTCTTGGAAGTTTTTTTTTTGCTCTTCTACTCCCCCTTCTGACGTTTTTAGGGTGTGTGTTTGGGGCTTCAATTATTTGTTTCCCAGCAAACGTTTCAAAGTAATAAAGTCATTGAACGTTTTAGTGGCGGCAACGATGTTGGTGTTTCACTTTCTTTAGGAGTTTAATGAACACCATCAAGTCAGCCATTAAATGGTGGGAATGCCTTGGTCCTTGGCTGCAAAAATGCATTTCATTTTTAAAGTGGGTGGCAAGGGCTGTCTGAGTGTAGATTTGTGTGGTCTGCTCTAGGACTTAAAATTCAAGACGAAAGTTGTTAGTTTTATTATTGTTATGGGCCATCGTGGATTTTGTGTTTCTCCATCTACCCTCTGCATTTTAAGAGCGTATTTTGTACTTGTTGAGATAAAGAAAGTAAATGTATGCATAAAATATATAAGTTACAAAGATATGTTACTTCAAAGTGTCTTAGAAGAAAAGATAAACAGAAAACATTAGTAAGGTAGGGACAAAGATTTGATCTGGCTGGCTATATGATACACTACACCTAAAATTGGGTCTATACAAGAGCTGATCCTAATATCAAAATGTGATTCTATGAATACTCTCAAAAGTAACTATGGGTCTATCTAGATTCCCTTTCCATCTCATAAACGTATGAAGAAAGTCATGATACCCTGTAGCACCGTGTGTGTGTGTGTGTGGTGTAGGGTATCAAAAACCTATCACAGTTGAAGCTGATAATCACAGGTATTTCCTCAGTTTATGTTGTACTATAATAGCCCGCAACGGGGACTAGTTGACTGCATGTCTGTCTGCTTAACTCTCACAGACATTATGTCTGGCTGACGTTTCATGGTGTAATAAAACAATCTTAACAGACAGATCTTAACTTCCAGGTTTGAAGTTAAGAAAAATATAAAAAGAAAACAAAAACAAAGCAAAATCCCATCAATGAAAACAAAAATAAAGGAAAATCAAATCACTTCACCGCAACCGCCATCAGACTCCAAATTAACTTTCATTTTCAATATACCAACCAACCAGCCAACGAACTACCAATATTGAATGAACGAATGGAATTGGCCACATGGTAGTTAACTGCAATTTGTAAGGCAATAACATTTGTTTTTGGATCTAGATACGATTGTGTATTTGTTGCCCGCTTTTATCAGTTTCCAAATCCCTCGTCTCTCCACTAAAGAGTCACTATTTGCCTGGTCTACATTCCTGGTCTCTTTGCTTGTGGCGTTAGTCTTACAATTGCCAAAGTTTAATTAAAATTTCGTGATCAATGCGTCATTGGTATTATAATTAAATTTATCTCCTAGCGGTTTATATTTCGGTGTTCGGTTTGTTTTCTCTGTTTGGGTTTTTTTCCTATTCATCTGTTTTTACAGTATATTGAATGAAGTTAAACAATAACAATTGCTACCAAATATACAATACGGGGTTTTGTTTTCATTTTGAGCCAAAATATTCAATGAAAATACACTTGATTACAAATACATTGATTGCTTGATTGGTTGGTTGGCGATTCAAAATATGAAATCGGGTGTGGATGTAAATTTTGAATTTTTGAGAGAATACATTCAGTCAAGGTTATATTCGAGATGGAAAAGAAAATAAAGCCTCTAATAAGTTACAGCATCAGGTAAAAAAACCGAATATATTATATCACATGTATTGACAAAAAATTTTATTCTACTCAAATGATATTCCAACAGTGATTTGAAAAGATTTTCTATACGAACGTCTCCAAAAAAAAGTAAGTGGATTTTTTTAAATTATTTTTATAGGTCCAAGTGTGGATTTAAACATTTGATGGATTTTTTTATAGATCCATGTGTGTAGCTTTTAAAGACATTTTTTGAATTCAAAGTGCGAATTTTTAAAGGAATTTCAATAAGTCCAAATGTACAATTTTTGTGGATTTTTAAGAAATTTTAGAGGTCAAAAGGTATATTTTTAGACATTTTTAGAGCATATTTTTAGAAACCCAACTATTAGCGTTGATTTTTTTAAGAAAATAACTGTTCTTCACATATAGAAGCGTCCAGATTCGCCTAGGAACAGCATATGATCGCTGCATGTAACAGCATGATATTGGTTGACTTCGCGGCAGTAACAAACATGACAGTAAGCAGCACCAGATTCAAGCATCCTGAAACCACAATGTCCCTCCCGATCAAACAACGAGAAATTAAATTGAGCATGTTGTGATTCATCCAGTGTTTAAGATGTTCGATCGAACCGAGGAGCGAATATCGATTTGGACCATTACCTTGCAGCAACAAAGGTTCGCACTCGTCCTAATGTAGCAGCAAAGGTGCAAAGTAACACAACACGGAAACTCGACGTCGAAAAGCTGCAAACACAACAGGTAGCAGAAGCCTACTCCGCAAAACAACTAACAAACTTGCTTCACAAAAGCACTCCTTATCCCGATAATAACATAGAAAGAAACACAAGGGCAAATAATTGCCCTATAAACTGCAGCACTTTGATACAAAAGACCATCATTTAGAAATGGTTAGGAGTGTCGTACTGCTACTGAGGTGAAAAACGCAGCGTATAGGGCAACCCAACAAACAAGAGAGAATTTTCGGGAGAAAAGGAGAGAGGAAAAACGTATTTTCAAAAAAAAAAAAAAAAAAAAAAACAGTAAGGAAAGTAGTAAAGTCGGACGGTGCCGACTATATGATACCCTTCACCACTTTGGCTATATACAACAGATGAATCTTAACAAACGTCGCATGAAAATGAAATTGGAACCATAAACGTGTCTTTCTGCAACCTATACTAAATTTTTCATTTCAGATATAGAGTTGATTCTTTTCAATGGGACAAAATTATGTAAATCAATTCAAAGCATATATCAATCGGATACCCGTTGATTATTTGGATACATATCTGATAAACATGAGGAGTTTGGTGCACCATTTACTTCAAATCGGACAAAATATGTATGTGAGCTTTATAGGTTATATAAACTATATAACTTTGGGTCTTTGGTGCACATTTTACTTAAAATCTGACAAACCTATATGTAGGAACTATATCCAAATCTGAACCAATTTCAACAAAACTTGCCACACGTTATCTCATAATAAGTTCAATAAGTTGTGCAAAATTTTATGCCAATCGGACCCACCTGGGGAATTCGGTGCAGCATTTATATCTAACTTATAGGTTATACTAAGTTCATTACAAAAGATATATGTGGACGAAAATGTATATGGAAGCTATATCTAAATCTTGAGCGATTTTCAGGAAACTTAACACAGATCATTCTATACTTCATTCAGTACGATATGCCAAATTTCGTGCAAATCGAAAGATATGTAGAGACTCTGATGCACTATTTATTTAAAATCGGACGAAAATATATATGGGAGCTATATCTAAATCTGAACAGATTTTCAGGAAACTCAACACACATAATTCTAGACGCAATTCATTATGCTGTGCCAAATTTCGTGCAAATCGAAAGATATTTAGGGACCTTGGTGCACCTTTACCTTAAATCGGACGAAAATATATACGGGAGCTATACCTAAATCTGAACCGATTTGGTCGAAACTTTGTAGACATCACTCTAGGCTTAATTCAGTACGATACGCCAAATTTAGTGCAAATCGAAAGATATATAGGGACTTTGGGGCACCATTTACATGAAATCGAACGAAACTATATATGGGATGTGTATCTAAATCTGGACCGATATTCACGAAACTTGGCAGACATCACTCTATGTTCAATTCAGTACGTTATGCCAAAATTCGTGCAAATCGAAAGATATGTAGGGACTTTGGTGCACAATTTACATGAAATCGGACGAAACTATATATGGGAGCTATATCTAAATCTGGACCGATTTTCATGAAACTTGGCAGACATCACTCTAGGCTCAATTCAGTACGTTATGCCAAATTTCGTGCAAATCGAAAGATATATAGGAATTTTTGTGCACCATTTACATGAAATCGGACGAAACTATATATGGGAGCTATATCTAAATCTGGACCGATTTCCACGAAATTTGGCAGACATCACTCTAGGCTCAATTCATTACGTTATACCAAATTTCGTGCAAATCGAAAGATATATAGGGACTTTGGTACACCATTTACATTAAATCGGACGAAAATATATATGGGAGCTATATCTAAATCTGAACCGATTTTTCCCAATTTCAATAGGGTTCGTCCTTGGGCCAAACAAATGAGCTGTGCCAACTTTCATCCAAATCGGATCATAAAAGCGACCTGTACTTTGCTCAAAAAAATACATGGACAGACGGACGGACGGACGGACATGCTTAAATCGACTTAAAAAGTGATTCTATGCATATTCTCAAAAGGAACCATATTTCTATCTCGTTTCCTTTTGCCTGTTACAAACATATGCACAAAGACATAATACCCTGTACCACAGTGTGGTGAAGGGTATAAACATCAGCTTTGAAATCAGGGGAACAGATGCTACTATGGTTTGAGTAAGCAATTTAAAAACAAAGCCACCAATCGACAGACCAAACTCACTCTCTACAAGACGCTGATACTACCCGAGCTGTTTTAGGAATCCGAAGCATAGCGCAATCAGATGAGACAATTCTTGGAGTCGACAGTGAATATCGCCGTTGGCTAGGTAATGATGTGAGAATGGATGAGAATTACCCAGCTCAAAATGCATATAAATGCGAGCCAACTGATGGGCCACACAGAACGGGAAAGCCACGAACTTCATAGAAATATCAAGTGAAAGATAACATTTTCGAGCATTGCCTATCTAATTGGAAGAGCTGCGAACAAGACCGACGTGCCTGAAAATATTTTTATACCCTTCACCACGCCCACTGTGATACAGGGTATTATGTCTTTGTACATATGTATGTAACAGGCAAAATTAATCGAGATAGACCCATGGTTCCTTTTGAGAATATGGATAGAACCACTTTCTAGTTCGATTTATGCATGTCCGTCCATGTATTTTTGTTAACAATGTACAGGTCGCATTTATGAACCGATTTGGATGAAATTTGATATAAGTCACTTATTTGGCCCAAGGACAAACTCTGTTGAAATCGGTTCAGATTTAGATATAGCTCCCATATATAGTTCCGTCCGATGGTGCACCAAACTCCCAAAATTGGTCAGATTGTGACAAAATTTTGCACAGAGTAGATCTTGATTGATATATGCCAAGTTTTGTTGAAATCGGTTCATATTTAGATATAGCTCCCGTATATAGTTTTCTCCGATTTTATGTAAGATTTAGATATAGCTCTCACATATAGTTTCGTGCGATTTTATGTAAATGGTGCACCAAACTCCCAATATTGGTCCGATTGAGACAAAATTTTGCACAGAGTACTGAATTAGGTCCAGCTTGTTATATGCCAAGTTTTTTTTGGAATCGATCCAGATTTAGATATAGCTCCCATATATAGTTTCGTCCAATTTTATGTATTTTATGCATTAAAGAGTCAAATTTAGCCCGATTGGTACCCAAAATGTTTTGAACTTTCCTTACTGGTTTAAGCTAGGCTTATGGTGCAAGTGTTCTGTCACAAGCCAGCTAAGTACGTAAACTATAAGCGTGGATTCTTTTTAAAATATTTTTTAGACACCCATCTATAAGCGTGGATTTTTAAGGAATATTTTTATACATCCAACTATGAGCGTTGATTTTTAAAGAGTATATGGATTTTTTCTACAGAATATTTTTAGACATCCAACTATATGGGTGATATTTTTAGTTTTCCACTTTTGTCCCCCAGTGTTTTCGTTTATAATTAGTCAAACAAATTCACAAGCTCTTCCATTGTTTAACAGCTGTAATCACACTCAGTTTCCACTTTCCATTTGAATTGATTGAAGTTTCGTATTCAATACATTCGGTAAGTCATTTATTCATTCAATGAAACTAAGCTACCTGCTGGGATAAAATTAATATTGAACTTGCGATAACGCAAACAAAAAGACTATATTTAAAATTGCATTAACATTGTTTTGTTGTTTTTTGCACAAAGAAAAAAAAAAAAACAGCGACTTAGAGTTGTTTTTAAATAACAGTTGTTGTTCGCATAACAATTGCAAAATATCAGATTTGTTATTTTATGTGTAAATTTGTTTTTTATTTCAAGTGCATTCGAAAAAAAACCTGGTGTTATATTATATTTTTGCCATTGTTATTTGTTTTACACATCAAAATGTAATTAATTTCAAATTATATTTAAGGTTACCGTAGTGGGATAGGTTTGGTAGACAAGCCTTCTCCATTCAGTCGCCGTCGTCATCGTCCATCAACATCCGTTGCTATGATGATGGTTGATGATGGCAGTGTTATGGTATGGTATGCTATGTTATGGTGTTACGCGCTGCAACAACAAAGTGATTGATTTGTTTAATGAAAGCTCAAGG